ACTGCGTCCCCCACTGGTATCTCATGCCAACCAGGCGCTAACTCCACCGCACCGGCTCCCCCAGTGGTATCTCACGCCAACAAGGCGCCAACTCCATCGTACCGCGTCCCCCCGGTACCTCCCAACCAGGGGCCAACTCCATTGTACCACGGCCCCCACTGGTACCCCATGCCAACCACAGGCTGACAGCACCGCACCTCCTTCCATACTGGTACCCCACACCAACCACGCGCTGACTCCCCTGTGCCACGTCCCCCATTGGAACCTCGTGCCGACTTCACCAAGCCACATCCTCCACTGGTACCCTATGTTGACTTCACCATGCCACATTCCCAACTGGTACCCCATGCCAACCACGCACCGACTCCCTCGTGCAGTGTCCCCCACTGGTACCCCATGCCAACCACATGCCGACTCCCCTGCGCCGCGTCCCCTATGCCAACCAAGCGCTGACTACACCGCACTGCATCCTCCACTGGTACCCCAGCCAAACCATGCACCGACTCACTCGCGCTCGGTCACCCACTGGTACCCCACGCCAAGCACGCACCGCATCCACCGCGCTGGGTCACCCACAGGTACCCCACACCAACCATGTGCCGACTCCCCTGCGTCGCATCCCCCACTTGTACCCCACGTCAACCATGTGGCAACTCCACTGCGCCTCCTCTCCCACTGGTATCCCATCCCAACCACTCACTGCATCCACCGTGCCGCGTCTTCCACTGGTACACGGTGCCGTGTCCCCACTGGTACTCCACGCCAACCACGTGCCAACTCCCCCGCGCTACGTCCCCCACTCACACCCGACGCCAAACACGTGCCAACTCCATCGTGCCGCATCCCCAACTGGTACCTCATGCCAATTTAACCGCGCCACGTCCTCTACTAGTATCCCATTCCAACCACGTGCCAATACCCCCGTGCTGCATTCCCCACTCGTACGTACCCCACGCCAAACATGCGCCGACTCCACCGCGCCGCTTCCCCCACTGGTACCCCACGCCAACCACAAGCCGACTCCACTACTCTGCGTCCCCCCTCTGGTACCCCAAGCCAACCACGTGCAGACTTCACCACGCCGCGTCACCCACTCGTACCCCACGCCAACCATGCCCCGACTCCCCCGCATCGGGTCCCCCACTGGTACCCCACGCCAACCACGCGCCGACTCCCCCACACCATGTCCCCCACTCATACTCCATGCCAAATACGCGCCAACTTCACCGCGCCTCATCCTCCACTGGTACCCCACGCCAACCACGCGCCGACTCCCCCACGCCGCATCCCCCACTCATACTCCACGGCAAATACGCGCCAACTTCACTGCGCCTCATCCTCCACTGGTACCCCTCGCCAACAGCACGCCAATTTCCCCGCTCCACGTCCCCCACTGGTACCCCATGCCAACCATGTGCCAACTCCACTGTGCCTCCTCTCCCACTGGTATCCCATCCCAATCACGCTCCGTGTCCACCACTTGTACACTGCGCCGCGTCCCCTTCTGGTACCCCATGCCTACCACGCACTGACTCCCCCACGCCACGTCCCCCACGCCAAACATGTACACACTCCACCACGCCGTGTCCTCTACTGGTTCCCCACCCCAATCACACCACGCCTCCTCTCTTACTGGTATCCCATCCCAACCATGCGCCGCATCCACCGTGCCATGTCCTCCACTGGTACCCCATGCCGACTCCACCTCGCCCTGTCCTCCACTGGTTCCCCACGCCAACCACACACCGACTCCACTGCACCGTGTCCCCCACTGGTACCCTGTGCCAACCACACACCGAGTCCACCGTGCTGCGTACCCTATTGGTACCCCATGCCAACCATGTGCCGACCCCCTCACTCTGCATATCCCGTCGGTATCCCACGCCAATCACATGCCGACTCCACCGTTCCACATCCCCTACTTGTACCCCACGCCAACCATGCGCCGACTCCATTGTGCCGCATCCCCCATTGGTACCTTGTGCCGAGATCACCGTGCCGCATTCTCTGCTGGTACCCCACGCCAACAACACACCGATTCCACCACACCGTGTCCTCCACTGGTACCCGACGCCAACCATGCACCGATTCCCCTGCACCATGTCCCCCATGCCAAACACACACCGACTCCATCGTGCCGCGTCCCCCACTGGTACTCCATGCCAAACATGCGTGGTTTCCACCACACCACATCCCTCACTGGTACCCCATCCCAACCACACCCCGACTCCACCATGCCGTGTCCACCACTGGTACTCCATGCCAACCATGTGCTGACCTCCTCGCTCTGCATATCCCATCGGTATCCCACACCAACCACGTGCCAACTCCACCGTGCCATGTCCCCCACTGGTACCCATGCCAACCACACGCCGATCCCGTTGCTCTGCGTTCTCCGTCAGTACCTTACACCAACGACGCACCGACTCCATCATGCTGCATCCCCCCTTGGTAGCCCACACCAATCCCATCACGCCACATCTCCCCACTGGTGCCCCACGCCAACTCTTTCGTGCCTTGTCCCCTATTGGCACCCCCACACCAACCACGTGCCGACTGCTTCGCACCGCGTCCCCTGTCAGCACCTCCACACCAACCAGGTGCCAACCTCACCACTTCCTTGCATCCTCCATTGTTAACCAGTGCCAACTCCTCGTGCTGTGTTCGCCATCAGTAGTCTATGCCAATAACATGCCAATGCCTCTGTGTCACATCCTCCAATTGATACCCCATGCCAATGTCATGCTAACACCATTGCATTATGCTCCTACCATTTTTACCCATGCCAATGACAAACCAACTCCATTATGCCATGTCCCCTGCATTCCTATCCCATCCTAACCACATGCTAATTCCATTGTGCTGTGTCCCCCCAACCAGTATCCCATGCCAATGACATGCTAACTCCATCGCACTGTCCCCATTGTTACCCCATGCCAATGACATGCCAACTCCATTGTACTGTGTCCCCTCAGTCAGCATCCTGTGCCCATGCGGTGCCAACTGCTATCATGTCACGTTCCCCCAGTCACCCCACCTCAGTATCTCATACTGATGGCACACCATTGGGCTGGCTCCCCACCAATCCCCCATGCCAACACCTCCTTTAATGCCTTTATGCTACATCAGCTCCATGCCCAGTGCTTGTGCCCCTTCAGTAGCTGGCTGACACTGTTACCATTCTGACCACCATGGCTCTGCATTACCCATCAGTATCCCATGCTGACGTTGTGCCAGCTCCCATTACACAGTCTCATCTCTTTGGTAACTCACAGCAAAGCTCTGCCGGCCACCACCTCACCGCTTTACCCTGTCATGCCCACTCCACACCGGCCATCATCACTCCTCCATCAAGTCACTTATT